TATTAGCCACCATGTGGCTCTGCTTCTATCAGTTAAAATATTAGCTTATAAGGGGAATTAAGCAATATCTATCCTCCTGGGTATGGTTTATTTTACTCAGTACAATGTCCACATGTTGTCACCTCTAGCAATAGTTTCCTCTTTACAAAAGCTCAGTAATATTCCTTGCATGTTTAACTCATAGTTTCTTCATTCATCTATCAATATCGTCTGAATTGTTTACATATCTTGGATATCATGAGGAATGCTGAGTTAAACTTGGGAGGGCAGATACTTCTTCAAATTCTTGATTTCAATTATGCCCTGGAATTATACCCAAAAATTGGGGTTGGTGGATCCTAAAATTAACAGGCGATCAGAAACGACCTCAAATAGCTAGCAATCATGAGAACAAACGCAAATCTGGATACATCACACTTTTTGATTTCAAAGTATAGGACAACTGTATAGAAGTAAAATGGTACTGACCTAAAAACCAACACAAAGAAATTGTGTGGTATTACTTTTGCAAAGTCTTTTGCAAAATAAACAAAAATACCACCAAAAGAATGTAGGGGTATTCTGGTCAGGCCCATAATTTATCCAGGCGACTGAGTTCAAGCCTCAGGGGTGAGGACAATGGAAGACAGTTTCCTCTAATCCTTAGTGTTCTTTGTTCATGTCTAGACCATTCCAGAAAAGAGGAAAAAACCATTTAAGTAGGTATCTCATGACTGTTCACAGGAATACTGTACCCTGTGGAAGGGGCAGGCTAGGAGCCTGCCAAGGTAGGAGCCAAGGTCTGAGAGAAAATACCCCCTTTTCCACTACTTAAATATGACTTAAGGTAATAGGTCTAAGTTTCAAATATGGCTGACAAGAATTTAAGCATATCTTTTCATAATGAATTTTTAATCAAAAACATAACCACAGCAATTCTTATTTGCTAGCAATTTCTAATTGCCTAAGTTACTCACACAAAGGCCATTTATAACACTGTAGTTCCCATCATCTTCCTTATACTTTAAGTGGAAAACCAGTTATATTTATTTCACTTGCTTCTTGGTTTCCTGATGAGTCTTTCCATGTGTCCCTACAATCATCACGGCTACTTTGCTCTTTCCAAATTATGTAAATTCCATTTAACGCTCCTTTTTAATGAGTTTACTGGCTTTGAACTGTGGTGGTTATATTGGTTCCACTTCTCAGTTGGACTTTACAGAACATTATCCATCTATCTTCAGCCTGGTCCTTTTCTTACTTTCTCCCCTTCCTCTAGGTGCTGAGAACATGCTGACTCTCCCTTTCCCTTCTTCAGTCTCATATATCCTCAACTATTAAAAAATACTTGAAATGCAATAGCACTTCAACATCAGAGAGGATCTTACACAACCAAGGTTCCCTTATTCTTTCTTATTAGCAAAGACTTTCTTTCCAAATGAATTCACCAGAACAGCTAAAGGGGGAAAACAATAGTAGCTTCCAAGCATAGGGTTGCTGAAATTACTACTGATATGTCTCTTTATTGCCACCTCCTGGTAAAATAGCAATATGGTTTATGCACTATCTTTATCACTGAATGGAAAAGAAAAGGCAGTTTTAGATATTTCGTGTTTCTCAAGTACAGGATTATAATGTAACGAAAAAAGAGAAAATGTTCTAAGTGGGATTCCAGATTTTTTACTACATTATGTGTGTTCTACAATATATCTTGCAAATACAGGAGATCCTGGGAATTAAAATCATGTCAACTATAATAAAATTGAGGGGAAATTTGCCATTATTTACCCAATTCATTAAAGCATATAGCTTCATATGTAGGATGTTACACATTATTTAAAAGAAGTGCTGAACTCCAAACACTACGATACATGATGCATATTCCATTGTGATACCTTTGAACAACTTAGGGGCTGACCATTTTTCTTTTCAGTCATAGCTCCATTTGTTCCTGTCGATGTCCTTCTGCCAATCCCCTAATTCAGGCATCTTACTTTAGGTTCTTTTATTGCTGTTTTATTTTCTGAGAGTCTTGACCAGGGCTCACAGTAAGGGTGAACTTTTCTATTGGCTTGCTTTCCTCAAAGGGAAATCTCCCAAGTAGGCTTTGTTTTGATTTTGAAGGTAGGCATGTCAGCCTAGCATGTGATACCCAGAAGTGGAGCTATACATACCCCAACTGCAGAGATGATATAAAAATCTTTTTACTCAGTGCTTCCATAGCTTTTTTCCCCCTATGGTTTTCAATAGAGGAATGTACTTACTTCAGTATTAAACCTAATCCAAATCCAGGTGAGAGTGTTGGATATCCCTATTATTATATACTGATTAACACACATATAGGGAAGCTTATGTCCACAAAGATAAAACTTAGTAATGGTTTTTATCAGAGTTTCAGCTTGTTTCAGAACAATGCTTATCTGCAAACCAACATAGAAGATGCCCACAGTTGCCTGGTTATGTATGCGTTTGAGGAGTGTTCATAACATAAAGAAGACAAGAGAAACTCCAAATAATTTTGCACATAACTGATATACGTAAAGGCATAAGAGATGAATAATACCCAACTACTGGAATTGGAATTGGAATATGGTAGCCTATTTTAATAACTGACTTAAATATATTATTGTTCATTCTAAGTTTTGGAGAAAGAACACTTTCTGATTGGAGGTTATTTTCATTTTTGTTTTCTGATCATGAAGTGGCCAAGACCTACTAGGTCTTCAGGAATTAGCCTGTCATGCCCTGAGAATCAAGCTGCATTCCATCTTTTCTAGTTCCTGCCCCAGAAATCCAGATTCCAGAGAAACCATTTGATCATCTAATTTTGGTAAAATTCAATCTTTCACAGAAAAGCCTTTCATCACAGAGGGAAGCAGTATAGAATGGCAATTTTCCAGTCACTTACTTTTGGGAAAACAGGAGGTTTCTTATTGAATAGGTTGAGTCCCCAAAGAGCAAATTCCATAAAACGTGAGATCCAGATTTTGGCTCTAAGTCACCTAGCCCAATAATATTATTTACAGGAGAGCTTCTCACCAGTCTTTTCTGAGAAAGACTGGTATACTTACCCCTGTGTAATGGACTGCACCATTCCACCTGAGAATTTAGTGTCTTTCATCATCTTGTTATGCCCATTAAGATATTCTTAAATCCCTTCTGATATCACAGAGGCTGAGGATGTGCCCTTTTACCTCTAGTTCTACTGTCACTACCCATAGAATATCACTATCAAGCCACTTCTATACACAGTCCTGACATTCTGCAAGGGGAAGGGATCAAAAAACATCCACATTTCCCAACACATGGAAATCATCAGTATATAGTACCTTGGCCAGGATCAGCCACGTCTGTCTAATCTTGGCATCTTTAGCTAATATGGTACAGAAAAAGGCATGACTCCAAAGTCATAATGGATGAAAACACAGGCATTTTGTCTAATCATATAATTCCAGAACACATACCACAGTGACAAAATTCTTAGAATCTGGATAGACAGGGAATAAAGACTATCACCTCATAAACTTCAACTCATCTGAGTTTCCTGAAAAAGTGATGTAGTTTGTCTCTATCAATATATTTCACTTTACCATGAAGCTAGAGGATAAATCTGATGGCTAATTCCAATTTCACAGTTCTATTTATGAATGTGTATATATATGCATTCATGTCTATATCTTTTAAGATGTCATTAACGTGCATATCTTTGTTAAAGTATATTTTCTCCAGAATTATAATTATAGATTACTCAAAAACTGGAAATCAAAAATTATATGAGTATGGTAAAGTCTTAGTTTTGGTCATCTGAAATGAAATTATTTCCTTATGTTTCTAAGGAAAGCTATCCTTAAGAAGAGTGGAATTAGATAATCAAACCAATTATTACTCAGTGTATTATTAGTTTGCTAGAATTTTTGTCAACAAAGTACCATAAATTTGGGCTTGATTATCTCACTGTTCTGGAGGCTAGAAGTCTGTGATCCAGTTGATGGCAAAGTCAGTTCACTGTGAAGACTGGGACAGGCCCCACAACCCCACCTGCTGGTATCTTGTCTGCAGTTTTTGGTGTTCTGCATATAGAAGCATCACTGTAATCTATCTTAACCTTTGCACAACAGTTCTCTTGTGTATGCATAGCTGTACCATAAATTTTCCTTTTTAATAAACACCAACCCAGTTGGATGAGATTCTACTCTAATGACTTTATCATAACCACAACGACAACGACTATTTTTCAATCAGGTCACTTTCTGAGACAGTGAGGGAGACTTCAACACATGTAGTTTTGATGGCACAATTTGGATTAGTCAAAGTTTTTCAGAGAAACAGAGGCAATTCAGAGAGATCCCGTTTCTTTGTGCACGTGCTCTTAGTTTGTTACACTTCTGTTCCGCCGTCTCTTCGAGACATTTTTTTTCCCTTGAATTCCAGTCACCTACAGTTTTTGGTTAGTTTTAGTGCATTTCTGCCCGTGCACTGAGCACAAACTTCTATTTGAACACTTACCAAATACATGGTTTATTGATATAGGCGTTTGCTCAGACTGTGAGACAACCACCCACAAATGTCATGTTCTAGGGACTGGGCATGGAGGTGGGGGGGGGGGGGGGGTTAGGGCCTGGGAAAATGAGAACACGATGCACTTGGAGGGGTAAAGGTTAATACACTCAGGTCTGTGCCCGGGTAACGCGCGCGCGCACTCACGGTGCTCAGGCCCACGGCCCTCCTCAGCTCCAGCTCAGGAAGGGAGGTTAACGTGTTTACCAAAGTCGGAAAGAGAGCACAAATCCCCAGCGCGAGCACTTTTGTTTCCTCGGTCTCAGGGCACAGTGTCAAAGGCCCAGCTACAAACCAGTAACACGTCCCTCAACAGGACGCCCGCGGCTCTGGCATCCATCTTTTTCCCTCCGGCAGTGCGTTTCCGCTCCTTCCGGGATCCTGGGGGAGGGCGGAGCCAAGCAGTTTCCAGGGTGACGGAGCGACGCTCTCGGGTGTGAACTGAGCGGGTCTGAGCGAGGCTCCCAGAGGGCTTTGCGGCCTGGCTCCCTTGAGGCGCGCTCCGTCATGGCGGGTGTGCTGAAGAAGGTGAGCCGAGCGGAGGTCACTGTGGTGGCTGAGGCCGCGGGGTGGGGGAGCCCGACATCCCCTCTTCCCGGGGGCACTTGTGCTCTCCTCTCAGGCGATGGCCGGCTTAGCGGCTCTGCGCGAACGCACACGCGCGGAAAGCAAGCCGGATTGAGGGGCCGGGCCGGGGCGGAGAGGCCGGGCCGGGGCGGAGAGGCCGGGGCGGGGGGCCGCGGGGTGGAGAGGCCGGGGCGGGGGGCCGCGGGGTGGAGAGGCCGGGCTGGGGCGGGGGGCCGCGGGGTGGAGAGGCCGGGCCGGGCCGGGGCCGGGCCGGGGCGGGGGGCCGCGGAGTGGAGAGGCCGGGGCGGAGAGGCCGGGCCGGGGCGGGAGGCCGCGGGGTGAAGAGGCCGGGCTGGGGCGGGGGGCCGCGGGGTGGAGAGGCCGGGGCGGGGCGGAGAGTCCGGGGCGGGGGGCCGCGTGGTGGAGAGGCCGGGGCGGGGCGGAGAGGCCGGGGCGGGGCGGAGAATCCGGGGCGGGGGGCCGCGGGGTGGAGAGGCCGGGCCGGGCTGGGCTGGGCTGGGCTGGGCTGGGCTGGGCTGGGCTGGGGCGGGGGGCTGCGGGGTGGAGAGGCCGGGCTGGGGCGGGGGGCCTCGGGGTGGAGAAGCCGGGCCGGGGCGTCACGGGGTGGAGAGGCCGGGCCGGGCGGGGGGCCGCTGGGTGGAGAAGCCGGGCCGGGGGGGGGGGGGGGCGCCGCGGAGTGGAAAGGCCAGATCAGAGCCAGGGGGTCTCCAGATCCAGAAGTCGAGTTAGAGCCTGGGGTCACGGGAGGGGTCGAGAACCAGGTAGGAGACTGGGAGTCCCGGGCTTTGCCTTTCTTGGGGGGGGATGCACACGCGGAAATGGCAGTAAACAGCTTGGTTCCTATTTCGTTTTTGAACAGACCACTGGCCTGGTGGGCTTGGCTGTGTGCGACACTCCGCACGATGTACGTACCTCTGTTTGTCCTGGTGGGTGCCCGAGGGTTCCTGGAAAGACTGGCTACAGGAAACCGGGAATTCACATCCAATCACAGCCCCCGTGAGGTTGTGGATGGAGCAGAACCAATATCGCCGCCCCTCACCCCCCTCTTTTTTTCTCCTTGCCCATGACCTCTTTACTGAGCCACTCTTCCCTAGATTTGTTTCTTGGCATTCTGGAAAATTCAGTTTTACATAATCGTGTAGGTACCCTCCAAATCTGCACCTCCCATTTTTTACCCGTTTCCCCTTCCTCACCCTGTCACACACTTGGGCATACCTTTTTCCTTCAGTATTTAAAAATACTTCCATTTAAAAAGATAATACAATTTATAGAGACTGTGTTTTCCGAGTACCATTCGAAGTGACACAGCACCTTATAAAGAGATGTTATTATCCACATTTTGCAGATCAAGAATGAAGGTCTCTAGATGGAAGTAATTTGTCCAGTACAAGGAGGCAGTGAAGCAAGCCAGTGTGAACCTAGGCAGTGAAGTTCCATTTACCATGCTCTCAATCATTGCTTAGTACTGTCTACTCCAGATCTTTCCTTACTTCTTCCACACACTGATCTGTGGGGTTTATCATGTTATCTCCTTTGTCTTTTCTGAAGAACCTTAGACACAGATTGAGATCCATGTCCAGTTTGCCTTTATCAAACACTACATGGTATAGTACTACACATATATACATGTATATACTAAGTATACATTTTTACTGTATACAATGAATGTTCTTTACAAAACATACTTACAATTTATGTTACAAAACATAATACTTAAAATTATTGGAGTGCTTACAGGATGTCTTGTTGGATGGGTTATCCTGATTTGCACCTAATTTTGGCAAGGGATAAGTAAAAGTGCCTTTTTTTACTGTGTGAAATGTCCCAGTATAGATGATAGAGTAGATGTCCACCCCATTTAGAACATTTATTTCTTTTTTTTATGTTGATCACTTCTGATTCTCATCTGTATTTCTCTAGGGACACATCTTTGTATCAGAAAAAAAAAGATAAAATGTTTTAAATCAGTTTAAGAATTTATTTAAATGTTACATTCTAAATTAATATTTGCATTGTATAAGTTGAGAATAAGAAGGAAAAGTTTAAATCAAAACCTTAAATCAGATTAAAACCTTTTGATTAAGTTACATTGCTTATTAGGGAGAAGAATAGACCATAAATATACCAGATCTTAAGGAGAGAAATCCAATTTTTTTGTTATTGTTGTTAAAATGTTTTCTTGAAATATCTAGGGAAGAGTGAAAAGTATTACAAATGGGTGTTTTAGGGAGATAAAATTGTCTATGATTGTATTTTCTTTGTAACTATGTGTACTGACTGAAGTGAGCACAGATGATAACTGATGACTGTTGTGGAGGGTAGGGAAAGCCACCTGTAAAAAGACTGCACATATGACTGCTAGAGGTCATATCCTCACATAATCCTCACATAAGAGGTAAATGATTAAAACCCATACTTCGTGGCTAAGACTTATATTATCTTTCCCTTGACTAAACTTGAAAACAAACAAATGTGATGTGAAAAACCCACACAATTGTGTTTGTGTGTTATCTGACAAGATTTACATTGGTACAGGCTGACCATTTTTCATCCACATCTGAATATGTCTGTTTTCTGACATAATGCTACAAATGGGAAATCACATCTGACTTCATGTAAAATAGTCAGAATGCAGGCATGCTAAAAAAAAAAAATCTTCTGTAAAATTACCTTTGGGCTATGTGTCTAAAGTTCATGTGTTATATTTTGGCTTTGATCCCATTTCTAAGATATCTCATAATGCAAATATTCCCAAATCCAAGAAAACCTGAAATTCAAACACTTCTGCTCTGAAGCCTTCCAGATAAGAAATACTGAACCTGCTAGTAATATATTCTCTATTATGGAAATTCATATTCAAATAGGTAAATAAGGCTAAATATTTAAACTGCTTTTTAAGAAGTGCAGTTGTTAAAACCTTTAAGGTTTATTTGCATATGTACTATACATGTATATCTGAATACATATACATACACGTGAGAAACTAGCTATTGGCTTCTCTGGGTTTTATATAATTAAACAAAAACAAATTTCAGGTCTGAAGGTGTAGCTAAGTAATAGAGTGTCTAGAATACGTACGTTTCTGAGTTCTATCCCCATCACTACAAATTTTAAACTAAATTCAAATAAAATAACTAAAGCTCATGTGTATTACAAATGAACACCTTTTAGCATGTGACTGATAGCCACACTGAAGTTTAGTTTAGTGTGTTTCACAGTATTCTGTTTCAGTGACTCAGTTCTGTTGCTTTTTCTGTTGAGCCTTTGGTGAAATTTAGCCACTTGGAACACAATTGTAGTCTCAAGCAAAAGCATTTAGTATTATATAATTTAGTTTACTTCTGTCATATCAATGATCTACTTTTAAATCTGTTTAAGTTCAAGAAGAAAAACTGAAAAAGAATTGGAAAGGATTTGCAGTACCTAGCATCTCAGTTTGAGAAATACTGATTTTCCAAATGATTTGATTTCCTAAAAAAGTCATTAGCATTGTTTTATTTTTTTCTTGTTATATGTCTTTGTCTTAGGTAAAACTTATTATGATACATAAACATAAATAACACATTTGTTTCCTAAGTTGCAAAGGATAGAAACAGGATATAGACATGAGGAAGTGGTAGCAAAGAAGAGTTAAAAAGAATAGATGTGACCCCTGTTTAAATTTTTATTCTGTGAAACGTTAAAAATATTCTGCCTAGGGCTGGGATGTAGTTCAGTGGCAAAGCACTTGCCTAGCAAGTATGATGTCCTGGGTTCGAACCTCAGTACCAAAAAGAAAAGACAAAAAAAAAATATTCTGCCTAGAACATTGCAACTCAGAATACAGTAAAGACACTTGCACATCCATGTTCATTGCTGCATTGTTAATAGCCAAGTTATGGAAACGCCCATATGCCCTAGAATAGATATATGAATAAAAAATACATACACACAATGGAAATTCACTCATTCATTAAAAAGGATAATATGGCATTTACAGGGAAATGGATGGACCTAGAACAAATCATGTTACCTGAAGTAAGCCAAACTCAGAAATGGTGCATATTTTCTCTCATTTGGAAACTAGATCTAAAATATAACGACATGATAACCTATACAGGACTTTAAATCATTCACCCATAAACAATCAGACTGAAAGAGGATACTCTTAGGGGAGGAACCCAAAAGCGCAATTCCTCTGAACATTTAAAATACTACTTACTGGGTTGGGAATGTGGCTTAGTGGTGGAATGCTTGCCTAGCAAGCAGGAAGCCTTGAGTTCAGTTCCTCAGTACTACATAAACAGAAAAATCCGCAAGTGGCGTTGTAGTTCAAGTTGTAGAGCAGCCTTGAGCAAAACAGCTCAGGGAGTGCCTCGACCCTAAGTTCAAGCCCCAGGATTGGCAAAAAAATACTTATCAAAACTAATTCTAGGAAATAAAAACATGATTTGTTGTTGTTACTGGTAGTGGTGTTTTTTCTTTCTTTTTTGGGGGGGGGGCAAATGGGAGGTAAAGAAAGGGAGGGAGTGTGAAAGCTTGGTATTCAGTATACACTGGAGAATGAACTTGAGGCATGGCATTGTCTAAAAATAAATTGTACTCATTACCTGGCTTATGAAATGATAATCCCTCTGTACATCATCTTCAATAATTCTATTATAATTTACTAATTACATTTTAAAAGAGAAAATGTTCTACCTAATCTTTTCATTTTGTATGCTTTTTCTTTTCAGAGGCTAACAATATTGTACACAAAGATTCTTGATGTCCTCGAACTACTCCCTAAAAATGTAGCATACAGAAAATACACAGAACAGATTACAAATGAGAGACTCAATATGGTTAAAGCCGTAAGTAGCTATCCAATGTAACATTTAACAAAAAAATTTCAGTAACTTATTTTTCTGCATGTTCTGCCCTTTTGTACGTGTATTCTCTTCTCATCCTACTATCAGTGCTTTCCTTTCATCTTCTACATAGCAAATTTTTGTTTATTAAATGCTTTTTATATGCATGGCATTTCTAGAGTACAGGAGTAAGATCAAGTCCCTGTCCTGAGGTAACCATAAAATTGTGGTTGTATCTTTTTATTTTCCCCAGTATTGAGGTTTGAACTCAGAGCCTTATTATACAACTTACTTCCCTACTTGAGCCATACACACCCTAAGCCCAATTTTTTTTAAATTTTTTTTTTTTTTGCCAGAGGTTTTTCTTGGCCCTTTTTTTTTTTTTTTTGGCTCCTACCTCGGGCCTCCTGGTTAAATGGGTTCACAGGTCTCAACACCACAACCAAACCTTGGTTGAAGAGATCTTGCTAATCTGTTTAGTTTCATTTTTATGCTGATCTTGGGGCTTGTTCTCAGGGCCTAGGTGCTGTTCCTTTTAGATAGTGCTCTACCACTTGAGTAACAGCTTCATTTCTGGCTTTTTTGGGAAGTAGTTAATTGGAGATAAGAGACTCAGGGACTTTCCTGCTGGGTCTGGTTTTGAACTACAGTGCTCAAATCTCAGCCTCTGGAGTAGCTATGATTATAGGTGTGAGCTACTGGCACCCACAATCTTGTTAACTCTTTGCCTAAGAGGCCTCAACCCAAAATCCACCTGAACTTTGCCTCTGAATAGCTAGGATTATAGGTATGAGCTGCTGTGCCAGGTCTTGATCTTATTTCTTCAAAGAAGAACAAAAGCAAGACTTTTAAAGAAACATCTCAAAATAATTACCTAAAAACTTGCTTTATTTCTGGAGCTTGGAAGTCTGAAATTGAAACTCAAGAGTACAAATCAAGTTGCTAGGGCCTTGTTTTGTCTGGCATCTCTATAGTATAAGTTATTCCTTATTTCTTTTAGTTTCTGGTGATATATTTCTTGCCTTCTGTACCATTCCAATTTTAGCTTATACAGACAGGTAATTTTTCTTTGTAATTTTCCTTTGCCTCTGTCTTATCAAGACACTCAAATTGAGGGCTCACAAAGATGATATTCCCATGTCAATATCTTTTTATGCCCAAATCTTTGTCATAAAGATATTTACAGACTCTAGAGATAAATACTTGTACATCTTGTCATTTATTACTCAACCTACTATAATATAGATTATTGATAGTGTCCATTAAGAGTAGAGTAGAGACTGGAAAAAGTCAAAGAAAAAGCTATGCAGAGAAAGCCTCAGCTGGAACAAATCAAAAACTTTTTTTGTTTTTTTCATTTGATTCATGGACCAGTAACAAAAAGCCATTTTGATAATGACAAAATCTTATTTATGTATGTGTGTGTATGTATTTATAGAGTGTAGTTCCTAGCTCTCACAAAGTTCAGTATACTAGAAAATAACTTAAAGGCCATTAAATATTTTAGGTATTATAGTATTCATTTAATTATTTATTTGGTGTTACTGGGATTTGAACTCAGAGCCTTGTGCTTTACTAGGCTGGAGCTGCAATTTGGATTTCTACTTCTCATATACCTGGGGTGACAGACATGAACCACAGTGTCCAGTTGAGATTTCTTTTGAAAAACATTTTAATAAAGGCTGCGTATCATGGTAATCCAGCTACTAGGAGGCAGAGATAGGACGATTATGGTTTGAAACTTGATGGAGTTTTCAAGTGATCACACCATTAGTACCAGTACTCCAAAATGACATTATGATAACATCAAAAGCTTGTCCTCTTTACTAACCTAACAATAGCTATTATTCTGATTTAGGATATTTGGCCTATTTTTTAAATTTTTTTATGTTTTTCTTTTGTTGGTTGTGGAGCTTGAACTCTGAGCTTGGGCCCTGTCCCCGCACTCTTCATCTCAAGGCAAGCCCTCTACCACTTGAGCCACAGCACCACTTCCGGTTTTCTAGTGGTTTATTGGAGATAAGAGTGTCACAGAGTTTCCTGCCTGGGCTGGCTTTGAACCATAATCCTCAGATCTCAGCCTCCTGAGTAGCTAGGATTACAGGTGTGAGCTACTGGCACCCAACTATTTGGCCTGTTTTTCAACTTGTAGAATTTGAATGGTCATTACTTTTTTTGTCTGATTTGTACTTAAGCTTAAGAAAATCATCTGTACTGCTGCATAGTTATCAGTTGTCTGCTATCATTGCCATATAGTATTCTGTTATACCAAATAACAAAACTTATCTGATCCATTCTATTATAGATAGCCATTGGGGTTGTTTCACCTTTTGGGCTATGATTTGTATTGATGTAAACATTGTTGAACATTATTTGTAGATGTATCACATATTTTTATTTAGTATATACCTGGTGGAGGAATTTTTCGGTCATAAGATTTGATTTCAATGTTAACACCCTCAATTGAAATAAAAAATTATAAGAAAGAAATGAATTTTAAAAACTCAGTTTTAAGTCAGGCACTTGTGGCTCACACTTGTAATCCTAGTCAGGCACCAGTGGCTCACACCTGTAATCCTAGCCAGGCACCAGTGGCTCACACCTGTAATCCTACTCAGGAGGCTGAGATCTGAGAATCATAGTTCGAAGCCATTCCACGCAGGAATGTCCGGGAGACTCTTCTATCCAGTAAACTACTCAAAAAAGCTGGAAGTGCACTATGGCCCAAATGGTAGAGAACTTAGTCATGAGCAAAAGAAGCTCAGGGATAGTGCCCAAGCCGAGAATTCAAGCCCCAAGATTGGCAAAAAAACAAAATCTATTTTAGGAAGACTAAATTTGGGAAGTGGCACTGTGGCTCAACTGGTAGAGCGCTAGCCTTGAGTACAAAGAGGATCAGGGACAGCACAGGGCTGGAGTTCAAGTCCTAGCACTGGCAAGGAAAAAAATTTGGCATTATATCTTATATATATTATATCAGAAGTATGTAAAATGTGGGGTTTGAATCAAGTTCCTCAGATCTCAGCCTCCCGAGTAGCTAGGATTATAGATGTAAGCCCCTAGCCCCCAGCTGTAGTTATTCATGATATTATTAAAACAAAAGTAGCAGAGATTAAATAGATTTACACCAAATATTTGGTAATAGCTTAATGAAGTTATAAAAACACATTTACTATTGTTGTCTTTTATGTATGAGCTTTAAAAATACCCATATTTACTTATATATTTATATTCCTTGAAATTACAGGAACCAGATGTTAACAAATTAGAAGACAAACTTCAGGGAGGCCAACTAGAAGAGGTTATTCTTCAGGTAAATTAAAAAAAAAATCTTACATAGAGGTTTTTTAAAAATTTTAATCATTTTATATATAACACAATTTCCTAGAAGGAAATAAAAACCGACTTCATATAGTGTCATACCAAATATAAGATGATGCATTGAAAATGTACTTCTAACATGTGAGTATCAATTAGGTATTTATTAGTGACTGAATAGACAGCCTATTGTTAGCTCTCATTTACTTTAGTAACATAATGCTGTATTTATATTTTTAGACAGAATTTTAAGAGCTTAGCGTAGTTTTACGGAAACTATAGTAAAGTTATAATACAGTGTAGTTATATGGAAAAACAAGCAGATTCTTTGAATCAAAAAACTAAAATAATACTTTTTATTTAGGTTATTGGAGCTTTTGACCAAATTAATAAACTTTGAAAATTTGTACAACATATTTTGAAACCTTTATTTTACATTATTGTCCATATGTTAATCTTGTCAAATCATAATGTTTGAACATAGCACAAAACATCACATGGTACCACATAAAATATGCATGCACAATTTTATATGGTGGTTAAAAGATAAAAGGAATTAGTTTAATGCATATTTCCTGTGTACCTGCTGTGTTTTCCTCCATTCTACAGATCATCATTTTACAAATCCTGGATCTCAAGTAATTATAGGTCATGACATTAGTTAGATGAGATTTAGCCTCCTTTATAAGAATAAATGCTGCAATTACATAATTTGTGTTTTTATTTTAATTATATTTGTGTATTAAGTATACCATGGCAAATATACAGTAGTTCTCCCATATTAGGTTTGGCTCTCTGATTTCAGTTGCTTGAAAATTTTAAATGAAAAACTACAAGAATAAACAGTTCATAAGAATTCCTAAGTGTAAAATTGCACTTTGTTCTGAGTATCTGAACGAAATCTCACATAGTCTCACTTTATCTTGCCTGGGACGTTAATCTTCCCCCTTACTTGCAGTGTAAACTATCTACCCAATACTTAGTAGTTGTTTTCTTAGTTATCAGATTAACTTTCAACCCTTTATTGCTGTTAATCTTAACCTGTGCCTAGTTTATAAATTAAAGCTTAAGAATTTTTGTACGGGAAATTTTGTACAGCTGGGAATGTGGCTTAGTGGTAGAGTGTTTGCCAAGCATGCATGAAGCCCTGGGTTCAATTCCTTAGTATCACATAAAGAGAAAAGGCCAGAAGTGGCTCTGCTCAAGTGGTAGAGTGCTAGCCTTGAGCACAGGCTCAGGGACAGTTCCCAGGCCCTGAGTTCAAGCTCCAGGACTAGCAAAAGAAAAAAGGGGAAAAAAAAAGAAACTTATCACATAGGGTTCAGTCTTAAACATTGATTCACTCATCTACCTGTGGTCTTGGGACATAATCTGCTAGTGTATTTTATTTTTAGCTGTAGGTCATAGGAAAGAATGGTTTGAAAGCCACTGATAAAAATGAAGAGAACTTGTACAATCTAATTAGGATGGAAAATTTACCAACCAAGCTTTGAACACTATAGTTATAGTAAATTCCAATCAATTAGAGTAAGTTAGAGGTAGTTTTTTTTTTAATTATAAACCTATAAGAATTAAGGAATTAGTTAATGTTCAAGATTTGATGTTGAGATAAACTATAAGGTTTTAATATGAAAGTTGAAGCTTTAATAGTCAAATTTCATTGATTTGTTCTGGTCAGTACCCTTTGGATAGTTGAATTATCTTTAAACATTTTTTGTTGTTGTTGTTTTTAACAGGCTGAAAAGGAGCTAAGTCTGGCAAGAAAAATGTTAGACTGGAAACCATGGGAGCCATTAGTGGAAGAGCCTCCTGCCAACCAGTGGAAATGGCCAATATAAGCATCGTTAAAAACCTTTGATGGGCTAATGGGAAACTAATGTAATTAAATGTTCTGTTAAATTAAAAATGTGTCTTATCTTGATTGAGAAAATTGAGACAGGACATGCTTATAAGCCTTGTTAGTGATTGCAATATTAGCAGTATTACCATTTTGTGAATTGCACAATATTCTCTCAGATTATTTCAAAGATTGTGTTTTCTTTGAACAGAAAAGTTGTGGTAAGATTTGAGAGTTAATTGGTAAAGTTTCTACAGATACACTCTATACAGACCATAGTTTAGTACTGTCTTAAGAATATTACCTAAGTTTTTTATTTTAGAAAATAGTCAAAATGGAGTTTCATTATCGTCTAAATGAATTTATTGGTTACTCAAGTGGTCATGAGAGTGAAGATGTTCAATTATGAGAAAAATGTCAAAAATAGTTTGTGATAAAATTTTAAATTGTGTTTAACATCTTTGGCTTTGATCTTAAGTATAAAGCAAAGTTAAAATATATAGATATATATTGACTGTCAATTCCATCATACTTGTAATTTTATTTTAGGCTGACATTTGAATTATTTTATTATTTTCATATTTACTTTATATTTCATTGTTACTCTGCCATCTTTAAAAGTTACCCAGTATGCCTGGCCCTGGTGGCTCATGCCTGTAATCCAGAAAACTGGAAGTGGCATGTGGCTCCAGTGGTGGAGCGCTAGCCTTGAGCTGAAGAGCTTGGACAGTTCCAGGCCCAGAGTTCAAGCTCCATGACTGATTAAAAAGAAAAAAATAAAAATAAAAAGTTACCCAATGATGACAACTCATACAACTGAAATTTATCACGTAAAAGATTTTTCTTAGAAAAGTGATTGGAAAACCTCTTGCATTTGTTCCATTTAAGAAAGTTTTCAGGCCCTTAGCCTTGAATTTTATTAATCAACAATAGCCAGTTAAAATTTCTTGGAAGAAAATACAACTTCAGAATTTCTGAAGTTCCCTTGGTATACTATTAGGTTATTATTTCTAACATTTGATTCATAACAGTATGACTTCAAATTAAAATCACTAACAAGTTTTCATGGTTTCTCATATGAGTGTAGATAGGCATCAGGCAAGAAAATACTGTCCAAGGAAAGAAGTTGGTAAGCTTAAGGATAAAAATAAAAGTTTTATGTCCTAGACTTTCTAGCCTTCTATTATTTTCAGATGCCAGTTAAACTGCACTTCTCACATTTTTTTCACGGCAAATTTGCAGAATGAAAAAATTTGTGATTTTCTTTTTCTCTGCTGTGTTTCTCCCTCCTACAGCTGTCATGTAAATGTGAAGTAAATATCAATTAGACTGAGTTAATTGCAAGAAGGGATGTGGAGAAATGGAAGGGGGAGATTAGAAGTCCAGGGTTATTTTGCAGCTCTGACCCCATCATGAGCTCAGTGACTGAAAATGATAACTTCTGCCTTCAGTTCTAACATTTACTTAGTATACAGTATACGTACTAAAGTCCACACATACTCCTAAAGTAGGATGCTTTCAAGATAATTTTCTTTCTTTTTTTTTTTTATCGTAGGACCTGAACTCTGGTCCTGGGGGCTGTCTCTCACCTGTTCAGCTCAAGGCTAGCACTCTACCAATTGAGCCATAGCACCACTTCTAGCTTTTTCTGCTTATGTGGTACTAAGGAATCGAACCCAGGGCCTCATGTGTGCAAGGCAAGCACTCTACCACTGAGCCACCTTCCCAGCCCTCTTCTTAAAAATTTTGGAGGTCCTATTGACATATAACAAAGAAAATTGATGTGCTATGCCTCTACACTTTCATTTCCATTTCCCCAATGAATTTCAAGCATTTTTTTTTATTTTTATTTTTTACCAAAGTATAATATAGCTATGTTGTTACAAATAGAACTTTACTGGTTGTGGAATAAGTGGCATGTAAAAGTAATCATTAATCTTTTTTTTTTTTTTTTTTAGTTGTAGGGCTTGAACTCAGTGCCTGGGCACTGTCCCTGAGCTGTTATGTTCAAGGCTAGTACTCTACTACTTTGAGCCACAGCTTCACTTTTGGTTTATTGATGGTTGAAATGAGTCTCACGGACTCTCCTGCCTGGGCTGGCTTTGAACTGTGACCCTCAGATCAGCCTTGTGAGTCACTAGGATTACAGGCCACCAATGCCCAGCATCGTTAATATTTTTGAACCTCAAATATGAGTAACATCGTATTAAGGTAATTTCAGTAATTAAATGTACACCACAGCTGAGGGTGTTAATACAAATTTATATCTGCTGCTATAAGGAAAGCAGAATCCATTGAGTTCTGCTGTCCTCAATTGTGTAACATGGAGTACTGGAGGAACCAAGGCAAAGAGAAAGTTAATGTTTTTAGAGTCTTGAAGTGAATTTTGAACCTGGACAGTCTGCACCTCATGCTTCTAGTTAGATATTATGTTATTTTCTGAGATGTTAGGGATGCTGGACTGTATGGGATATGAAAACAAACCTAAAACTTGTTTTTAACAATTGAACAAATAGGAGCAGAAGTAAACTGGATATTACTTTGTGAAAGTCTTCCAATGGTAGACAGTGTTAATAGGTCAGCTACCTAAAAGGCATAAAACAATTTATTCTTTTGGTTTTACTGCCATTCATTTACTTCTTCCAAGTATTTTTTTATATGCTTTATAAACATCCAGATTAGGATTAAGATTTCTGACTACTGCAAATAATTCTGAATATATACCCTTTTTGTCCCACATCTGAACTTGGTGTAGAATCTTTCAATATCTGGGTATTTGTTTCTTTGGGATGAAAAATGGCTTTTATGTACGATAGTCATATTATTTATTATTCTACCTAGGGTGATTATTAAGTGATAAAACAGAAAAAGTGCCACAGGAATTTTAATATTGTAAGGCATCTGCAGATCACTTTTGGTAATTTGGTCCTTGTCACAATATTAATTTTTCCTATCCTGAACATAATTGGAAGTATTTTCATCTCTTTAGTGTCTTCTTCATTTTCATTAAGAAGATCTGTGTTTATGAATCTGTGTTTATGAATCTTTTCTAGATCTACACTGATTAAATTAGTGGCAGGTAGGAGGTTTGGCAATATCAAAATGTTGGTTCTTCTCTCCCCTGCTGAGAGGTTTGTCTAGAAGACCTTTCCTAAGGTGATTTCCCCTCTGCAATACAGTGTGAAAACCAGGATGTAAGACATGCAGGGTGGACTTCATAGTATAGACTTCTCACTTTGTGTTTTCTAAACAACCTCTAATTCATTGTCAGGCATTCCCTAGGCTTTTTATTTTCTTGCCTCTGATGGCAAGTGTGTTGGTATTGTCTTTTCCTTTAAGGTGCCCCATCTTAGAAGCCCATTGTTTCTTTTGTATGTCTGTGTTCTTTATTTCTGGACTTCCACCTGTTTTTGTCTGCTGTTGGTCGTTGCCTTCACCTTTCCAGGCAATCTGTCTCTCTCCATGGCCACATTCCTGATTTTATTTTGTCTCAGAATGGTAGAATCTCCAGCAAGAGCAAGTTGTTTCTTTTCTGCCATCTTTCCTTTCTTATCCCAGTGTGCTAGTACACATTTGTTTTTACTCATATTACATGTTTAGGTAGTGTCACTAGAGTGCTCACAATCATACAAAGGATCCAGACTGAAGTGTGGTATCAACACATACGTCATGATCACAGAGTGGTGGGGAAATAGGAATACTGCAAATATTACATAAAAAACAAACCCAAGGTTAAACATTTGTTTTTAAATGTACCCTCAAACTTACGAATTTAGTTTCCTATGCATTGCTAATAAGTTTAAGTGTTATCTTTAGTTTTATAATAGCAACTAATATTTTATGGCTCCCTTTAATTTGTGATAGATTAGTTTCTGTATTGACTATCAGTTGCAAAGATTTAAAATTTTTTTTAATGATCTTCAATTTAAGGTGTACCAAGCTTTCCTAAAGATGTGTTATTATTTTATTACGGAATGTTGAATTTTTCTCTATTTCTAAGCAAAGAGTGAATTCTGTTTCTTCAGATTATTCACAGGTCTACAATTCTTCACATAAATTTCAAAAAGCTCTGAAAATGTAAACTTTTTTTTTTTTAAATAACACCTGGCAACAAACTAACATTAAATGACATAATGCCATTTGTGGTATTTCTCTCAATATTAGCTGCTTCCCTAAATTCATTGTATTACGTAGTATAAAGTAAGGTAAAACCTTAAACATATTTAACCTATCCAAGAAATTTCAGGAAACTGAGTATGGATTTGTATTTTCATTCTCTTAAGTGATTCAAAAACAAGATCCACACTTGAGTTACAAAGTTCATTTTCAAACATAATCTTTAGGACCTAACTATCCTATGTAGTTATTTTAACAATTTTTCTACTTTATTGCTCATTTGCATCAAGATGGATTCAACCAGTTGCAATGAAGTGGAAATATTTTGAAATGCTTGATTCTTTTAATAGAGCCACTAGGTGGCATTTTTGAAAAAATGGGGCACTTAAAAATATTTAGTGCTGAGATGAACAGAGATGTCTGTGAGAAGTAAAGGTAAGTCACTTGGGATAGCCAAAATGTATGGCTTTATGGTGAAAAGTAAAATAGAAAATGTTAGTCTAAATCGCAGCTCGTATTTACATTTATGTAACCAACTATCTCCGTGTGTGTATGTGCATGTGTATGTATGTGTGTGAGAGAGAGAAAAGTGAGAGATAAGTATTTTTCAGGTGCTAATTACCTTTCTATCTGCATGAACTACCCTACATATTTAAGGTAGCTTCTATTGTAGTGTTGTATGAAGTCAATTTCATAGCAAACTAAAAATAAAATACAACATAGTAGGTATCAAGTACTCAGTGCTCTCTACCACCTAGTCTTCTAAGCCCCTTTCCCACCTCTTTTCCTAATCATAGGGTTTTTATACTATCTCTGATATGGAGGACAGTGAATGATAAAGCTTGAAGAAGAGTCAGAAAAATGAATATTAAATCTAATGGAATTCTTATCATTGGTAGAATTGTGACTTTGGAGATGGGCAGAGGTGTTTGGAAACATCTACAAAAATCTCA